GATATTTTTCTCTCTGCACGTAGAAACTCATGCTTTTCAAAGTGACTGCATGCTGTACAAATGGTTTTGTGATTTGCTTTTTTCACTGCACAATATGTTGTGAACATCTTTCCATATCAATAAATATTTATCTACATCATCATTTTAACAGCTGCATGGTTTTCCACTGTATGCGCTCATTTACCAACCCCTATTTTTGGGTACTTATGTCCTCTCTGCTTCTCTCTCTGTCCTAAGCCACACTCTGATGCACATCTGTCCCAGGCAGACGCAGCCGGCAGAGAGGGGCAGGCCCTCTGCCCTCCCAACCCCCACCCGGCCCTCATCTTCCCAGCCCGGCTCAGGCTCTGTTCTCTGGGCCACCTCCTCTCCTGCTTTCCCAGCCAAAAGGGCCCCAGCGTCTGAAATCTCAGACTAAACTCTAGGCTGACGTCTAGAATACATGGCAGCAGGCTGCCAGCCATGGAGAGAGGTGCCTGGACATCCCTCCGCAGAGCCTACAGCCAAGCCGTGGCCCGCTCAGGCCGAGGTGGGAAGATGATGACCTCCCCATGTCCCTCTCCTGCATCAGAATCTTGCAGATGACCTCCTGTCTGTACAGCAAAAGCCCAAATGCCTCCCAGGACAGACTGACCCCACATCTGCCTTCAAGCCACACCCCGGGTGCCTCGTGGTTTCCAAAGATGCCAGCCTGGGGTCAGGTGGCCGTCCTGCCACTTTACTGCAGCCACTGGCTCTGTCTATATCCTCCCACCCCTTGCCCAGTGCCTGGCACAGCCTGGCGGTCAGCAAGCTGGGAGGGATGAAGAGAACAGGAGTCTCTGGCTGACCCCTAGGTGACTTCCCTGAGGAAGGGAACTGGGCCCTGTGGCCACTAGATGGCAGTGCTCGGCTGCCCAGGTCTGAGCGAGAACCACAGCTGCAGTTCAGAGGCAGGGAGAAAGTGGGTCCCACAGCTGCAGGAGGGTTTGCTAGAGCCCACATCCTATCACCCAGAGGGATCACCCCTTTCTTCTAGACTTGCCTCTGACTGCCATGGCCATGCCCTCTATGGGAGAGAGCGAGCCTTGGCCTCTCGGCAGTTGTGTGAAGGCTTACATGACTGCAGGTAGCTTCTCTCGGTCTGCATATCTACATCTGTCAAGTGGGGACACGATGCCTACCTCCAAGGCGATTCTGAGGATAGAATCAGCGCATGTTGCACACAGCAGGTGTCTGGCAAGTTGGGGGGCTCTCATTTAAACACTCAGCGAGTGTTTTGCTTATTGGCAGGTGGCGTGTTAGTGCATCTCTGATGATGCTGGCCCCATGGCAGGAGTGGTAACAGGGTCTCCCGGGGGGTGTCCTGTCCTACCAACTCACTGGTGTGTGTGCAAGTTGCCCTCCCACAGGCACACACAGGCAGTTAGTAACCTGGCAGTGTGGACAGGACAAAGGGGCTGCAGCCAGTGAAGAAAGGGTGGGAGCCAGCACCATCTGCCCCTAGGAAACAGGCTGTTGTGACTTCAGGCCTCCCAGGGGACGCGTGCAAGCTCTCTCCAACTGCCCCTGAGATGGAGTGGAGGCTGTTTCCTAACGTGCTTTTAATTTTTTTTCTATATTATTTGAAAGGTAGGGAGGAAGGGAAGGAGAAAGAGGGGAGAGAGAGAAAAAAAGGAGAATCATCCCCTAGTTCCCGCCCCACAACAGCCAGGGCTGGGCCAGGCCGAAGCCAGGAGTCTGGAACGCCATCCAGGTCTCCCGCGTGGGTGGCAGGGGCCCAGCGCTGCTGCCTCCAGAGCAGCGTGCTGGCACTCATCTGCATTCCTGCCTCCCTGACTCCCCCATGCGCTCTGCTCCCTCCGTTGCTCCTCCCCATCCCCAAACGTGAGGCCTACAACTCTGTCCAGTCTGAGAAGCCCTTGTGGGGTTCGCCACTTTCCAGGAAGAGGAGCTTCCTGATGCTAGGACGGATGTCTTTCCCCTAGAGCTGGGGTCTCTCCAAGGATAGAGTCTGCACCCCTTGGGCCAAGAAACCACAAGATAAGGATGAGAGCCAACCTCTCCTCTGCTACTGGAAAACCCGTTTCCCTGTTGGATAGATACTCTGAGGGCAGAGTTGTTCGTCCTCAGCTAGAGGGGGCTGCCTCAGAGTGGACTCTGCTGGCTAGAAACCAGCTCCTGTGGCTACAGAACCATTCTTGCTGACCCCAGGCTGCCTGCTCCCTTACTGCCCTGGTCGCCCTTGGTCTGTAGTTGGAGGCATCGGCTCACTCGCTCCCCAGAGCCTGGCTGCTGTGCAGGGGTTAATAAGCTCAGGCCCTTCCTCCCTGGCTTCTCCCCACCCTGCCCGCTGCCCAGCCCGCCCCCACTCCCAGCCTCTAACCCTGAGATCGCCTTTTTAATTGCTTTCCCCGATCTGCTCTGTTCCACGCTCCCCTCCTCTCCCTGCCTGATCGGGTCCCCGCTCTGGGAGGGCAGGAGGCGGGGACCAGATGTGGCCCTGGTGGGAGGAGAGGGCTGGCGGGCAGCCTGTTATGTCTAACCCAGCAATCCTGCAAATGGACAGGAGGCACTGGAAAATGGGGGTGGGAGGGCTGTCGGTGAGCTGAGGGGAGTCCTTGGGGGGAGCTGGAGAACACAGCCATGGGCATAGGGTTTCAGGGGGCAATTCTGGTCCCTTCCTCACCCCCAAAGCCTTCATCCAAGGCCCTCCTGGCCCCTTTTCACCAGAGATCCATAGAGGAGGGGAGAGGGGAGGACCATGAACTAGATTCTGCCTGGGGACCAGGTCCCCTGCACTCAGGCAAGAGCCAGAGGGACACTGCTGGACATCGCAGGGCTCTGGGCGGCAGGCTTCCCGAGCAATGGGGCTCCCAGGTGGAGACGAAGTGCCCTCATGGGCACCAGGCTGACAGCTGGGTGTAGGAGGGGTCCCAGAGGGGAAGCCCAGTCCTCTCCTTGACAGGTCCCAGTGCTGACAGAGGTTTTGGCTTACACTCAGGCACCAGGGACAGGCACTACCCATTTGCTGCGCTCAGGGACTGTCTTGTTCTTGGGTTTTCAGCTCCTGGCACTAAGGTTGGTTCTGTGAGCCGGGCAGGAATTTGGATGCTAGGGTGGGGTTTGAAGAAGCAGAAGCAGGAAGTGGGTGTGAGAGGACTTCCAAACTCAGCAAAGTAGAGTAAGGGGCAGGAGCGGGGGAGGAGCGAGGGCCTGGGGCCAGGCTGGACCTGCAGTGCCCATTGATCGCTGTGTCCCGCGGACGACTCTGTCTGGGTAAGAACAATCCAATCTCAGAGCCCAGTGCAGCATGGAGGTCAGCTGGGAGCTGGCTGTCGGCTCCCTGTGAAGCTCAGAGCAGCCACGTCCTGGGTGCGCAGGCCACCCCGCAGTGAGCTCTTGGCCTGACCTCCCATGATTGAGGGCACGAGTCAGGCGTGCTTAACTCCATCAGCACCGTCTCTTTGTACAGTTAATGGGTTGCCTGGGAGCACATTTTGCACCTCAGAGCCACGGATGTTTGCAGAGCGAATGGCTGGCTGCAGAACCTCCTTGTCAGGCGCGACCTCTTCTGCTGGTGGCTGCCCTGGCCCCAGCCGGTGCTGCCCCGCGTGCTGGACCCCACTGTGCCGAGGACGCCCTGCTGGCCCTCGTTACCAGCCCCTTGCTCATGCTGGCTGCCTCTGCGCTTGCGGGGGTGACGATGATGATCAAACGAGATGATAGATGTGAGGGCCCCAGGAAATGGGGAAATTATTCAATTTGAATCCAACCAACAACCCAGCGAGGCCTCCTGAGGTCAAAGGCACCATGCCAGGCCGCCAGGGGCTGCAGATGTGAAGCCGTAGTGGGAATCACGCACACAGGGGAGAAAGACTCATTAAGACTAATTGGAGAGGAGGGGACCCCAGGCGTGTGAGGAATGAGGTCTGCTCACTCCCGAAGGGAAGCACTTGGTGCCATGCAAAGAACTAGACTGGGGTCGGATCCCAAGCAGGCTGTGTGACTCTGGGCGAGTGCGGGAGCCTTCTTGAGTCTGGCTCCTCATTATCTACCCAGAAGGCTGTGCAGCTTCGGGAAGATGCCTGGCAGCCGGGTAGAAGTCCAGGCTTCTCCTTGTCTTCTCTTTTCCTCCAAAAATGCAGTGGAAGTGGGAGTGGAGGGGCCCAGCAGGTGGGGGGAGGCCGCCCCCCAGAACAGCTAGGACTCCTTGGAAACCAGCAGCATTGTTTACTCGCAACCCACAATGTGCTAAATACCCTTAACATGTTTGTTTTCAGAAACAAGTTAAACACAGATTCTTGTAATTTTGTTGACACTATTAATTCATTCAGTCACCCATGCCTTCACAGGAGACCAGAGGGAAGCTGTGTTGAGCTGTCACACATTGCAAGTGAGTGAAGACAAAGGCCACGAGCTGGGGTCGGGGCAGGAGTGGATAGCACTGGGCTCACACTAGTGGAGGCTCTGCTTGGAGCCTTGCTTAGACTTGGGGGCCACAAATATTGCCCTCCCCTGGGGACAATTTAGCTCAGCAGCCAATATGCCAATTAAGATGCCCGTGACACCTGGCTCTGGCTCCTGACTCGTTTCCTGCCAATGCAGACCTGGGGAGGCAACCGTGAGGATTCAAGTAGTCAGGAGCTCAGAACTCACATGGGAGACCTGGCTGGAGTTCCTGGCTCCCAGCTTCAGCCCGGCTCATGCCTCGCTGTTGTGGGCATTCGGGGAGTAAACCAACATATGGGAGATCTGGATTTCTGTTCTTTCTAAATAAATGCAAATTAGGAAAAAAAAAAAGCATGAAAAATATACCCCTAGCAACCCACACCCAGGAACCTGCCTCTTGCCTTTAGGTGTGGCAGCTCCTTAGCCAACCCCAGAGCAGAGGCCTGTAGGAGAGGGGGGGCTGTGAGGTGAGGAGTGGGGCTGTGGGAGCTGCAGGTGTTCCCTGAGGAAGGGCAGGAAGGTAAGGAAGACGCGTGCTCTCCTACCTGAGGGCAGCGAGGGAAACCACCGAGGACGGAGAAGGTTTATTAGTCATTATAATAAAAACTCCACCTGTGCACGCATATGCACACAGACGCGCTGAAGTACAAGCTCAGAACACACACACCCGAGCATTAACAGCATTTGTAGCGAGGTCTAAGTCAAGGCTGACTTCTTCCTTTTTCTTTTTCTTTTTGCTTTCTTTCTACACCGAATGTAGATTCCTTTGACAATGAGTGAAACAATAAAGCTATCTCTGACTGGGAACCAAGGCACCATCAGGAGCTGCATCACGGCCAGGACAGCAGCAGGGGCTGGGGCTCCTGCTCCAGGCTGGGGGGAGTGGGGCGGAAGTCACCCCATCTTTCAGAAACCAAGAGCAGCCAGGCTGGGACTCCTCACCACACCCCCAGCGCAAGCTCATCCTTTGGCCACCGTGAAGCGGCCATCTCTGTACAGAGTGCTGTTCGACGCTGGGGGTGGAGGAAGAAACTCAAAGAGCTACCCGCCTGCACCAAGGGCGTCAGAGAGGGGTGGTGGGGAGGGGGGCATGGTAGCACCCTTTAAAATAGCAACACATTAACACTCACCAACAAGTATGTGCTCACTGAGAAGCTGAGTGTGACAAGGGATTGCAGGGTGAGCAGCAGCGGGAAGGGCTTGGCGGGGAGGGCTGTTAATGAAAGAAAGGCGTGGGCATCGATTTCTTCCAGGTGAAGAAGGCAGACGGGGCTCTGGTACAGGTGGCCCCAGGGACAAGCAGGGCCGTCCAGTCTAGAGAAGCTGGTGGGTCAAGGCGGCCTGGTGGTCAGGACACCTTGGCGATGCAGCTCCCGGCTGACAGCACTCCCCCAAACCCAGTGAGTTCCTTTTGGCTCCTCTGGTCGCCAGGGCAGCGGGGGCTCAAGGGTGGTTCTGCAGGCCAGGGCAGGGTGCAGGAGGAAGGAGAAAGTGAGGGTCTGTCCTGCGGGCCCCTGCCCCTTCCCAACCCCCACGTCTCTCGCCAGGGCCCCTGAGATGCTTGGAAAGATCCAGGTTCTCCTGTACCTGCTTCTCAACCCTGCCCCCCACCTCGGTCCTGTCTTCATCTTACTGTGGCCCAGCCCATCCCTGGCCCCAGTGCCAGTCACCTGGGATTGCAAGGGGCCCAGCTGGCTTCTTCAAGGTGCTGCTAGGGAGGCGGGCAATGCGGCTGCGGCCCCGGGAGGCTGAGGAACTGAGAGAGAAGGAAGGAAGGAAGGTGGAAAGGTTACAGGGTCGGTGTGGTAGCATACTGGGCTAAGCCTCTGCCTGCGGCGCCGGCACCCCAAGAGTGCCAGTTCAAGTCCTGGGAGCTCCATCTTCTGATCCAGCTCTCTGCTGTGGCCTGGGAGAGCAGTAGAAGATGGCCCAAGTGCTCAAGCCCCTGTACTCATGTGGGAGACTCTGAAGGAGCTCCTGGCTCCTGGCTTCAGATCGGCTCTGCTCCAGCTGTTGCTGTCATTTGGGCAGTGAACCAGTGGATGGAAGACCTCTCTTTTTGCCTCTGCCTCTCTACAACTCTGCCTTTCAAATAAATTAATAAATAAATCTTTTTTAAAAAAGGCATGGTTCAAACTATTTAAAAAAAAAAAAAGAAAGAAAGAAAGAAAAGTTACAGACAGGCCTCTGAGCACGGCGGGGTCTGAGCACCAGCAAGAGCTCCTGAGGCTAGATCTGGACCCCAAAGAGGCCAGAAGCGGTCAGGGATGGACAGTCCAATCCCAAGATCAGTCGATTCCTGCTTGGTGTTTCCCTGGCGGACAGGGACCCATGGCCCCCTTTGCCTCCAAGGACAATCCTGTAATAGCAAGCTGAGCCAAGGACGCCTCGGCCAGAGAACCAGAGCTGCCCTGCTCACAGCCCTTGGTGCCTGCGGTTGCCGGGTGTCCCTGTCCTGGTGAGAGCTGTGCCCCCACACTGCACACACCTCACCTCACAGTGCGCCTCTTCTTGCAGGCTGAGGTCCCAGGGAGGGAGGACACGGGCTTGGGGCCCTTCATGGGGAACGGCAGCTCAGGTGCACTGGAAGGGAAGCGGGGAAGGGAGGAGGGTCAGGAGGGAGCCAGCCACGGTGCCAGCCACGTCCTCTCCCAGCCCCAGAACGGTGCCGGCCACGTCCTCCCCAGCCCCCAGCTTGGGGGAGGTGCAGAGGTTGGGCACGATGACCTCGAGTTTTCTCCTGCAGAGTGGATTCTTTCCCTGCCTCACTCAGCCTGGGCTGACAGCTGAGTGACAGTCCTGTTCTGGGAGAACATCCAGATGTCAGCTTCAGGGCTGTCCAGGGAACCGGAGTTCAAACAATTTCACCCTTGCACCTGCCTGGCTCTGCGCTTGTTACTGAAGCTGGTTCAGGACTATGGAAGGGGCGGGGGTGCAGGTGGGCAGCCTGTTGGCCCCTGCCTCACGAGTCCAGGTCAGTCTGCCACGTTCTTGGCCTCTGACTGTCCTAGTTGCTGTCGCTCTGCCCTGACATGTGGGTGCCAGGGGAGGGTGCTAGCCTTCTGTTTTCACCAGAAAATGCTGAATAAAGTTTCCTGCAGACTCCCTTCTAGGGCAAAATCTCTGGGTGGAAGTGGCAGAAGTATTTCCCAGTGGGGCACAGAACTCAGATGGGGTCACAGGGTCTAAGCAAAGCAGAAGGGGCAGAGGTCGGGTAAGACGCGTCTGAGGTTCCTGGTTTAGAGAGCTTCTCTCCCTGCCTCACTCGGCCTGCACCTGCTCCCTGCTGACTTCTCTAACTGGACTTCCATTAGCTACTCCTGAGTGTGCCACAAATCAGGACGGAGCTGGCAGATCTGAGGCAGGGACAGACCAGGCAGGACCCCCGAGAAACTAGGCAGGACTTCCACAGAAACTTCTCAGCTCTTCTGGCCTGGGGAGTGAAGCTGATCATGGCCAAAGGGAAACAGGGCAGTGTCCCGGCTCACAGGGTCAGGTTGACCTCCCCCTTCCCACCAGCCCCACCGCTCCTCACTGACCCTGGCCCCCTGCTGGGAGGGAGACCCACCTGGGAATGAATGGCTGGTCCAGCCTCTTCAGTTCTGGGGGGACTTTTTCCCAGCCAGTGTATTCATGGAAATCAAGTTGTGAGGAGGGCTCCTCAGAGAGATCAAAGGTGACGTTGAGGTCCCGAGCAGGTAGGGCCAAGGGGGTGGAGCAGTTCTGCAGGGCGGAAGGACCCAAGGGCACCCGGCTTTTGATGACCGTGGCTGGGCAGAAGCGAGGGGAATGGCAGGGGGAGGAGGCCCTTTGCTCTTTCGGGGTGCTGGGTCCGAACGAAGGCTGGGCCTTAGGCAGAGACCCCCTCCTAGGGCAGGGCAGAAAGGACTGGCGCTGGCGCTTGGTCTCCAGCTTTGGGGCTGGGGCACTGTCTGGCTCTGAGGGACTTGGTCTCCTCCTCTTCTTCTTCTCTGCGGGTCCCCGGGATGCTTGGGTTGGGGTGCAGTCAGGCCTGGATGGGATCCCCAGTGTGTGCATGAGGCCGCCCCATTGCCTTGCCATGGTCCGGGTCACAGGGCCAGAATATCCTGGAGACTCTGGGCAGAAAAACAGGGGTGTTGAGGGAAGAGCAGGGACTTCCAGAAGGAAGGAGAGTGTGTAGCACGTGGGAAGCCAGACACTGGAGGCATGAAGGAGTCCCTAACTCCTTGGGTCTCCTGGGCCTTTCTAAGTGCAAATGTCCACGATCTCGGGGGCTCGGCCTCCTACTGCAGCATAACCCAGACCTGGGGTCCCCGGCCACCCCCAGTGCCAGCCGGGGACTTGGTCCAGCACCGACGAGAAGAGGAGTGAGACTCACCTAACTCTGAGCACAGCGCCTGAGGCAGAGGTACCTCCCTGTCCAGGCTGGGAGCCCTGGAAGTGTAGGTCCCAGGCTCTGTCTTTTCCTCCTGCACCAGCCGCTGCAGCCTCTCAAACTCAGTGATCATGTCAGGGGTCAGAAGGTTGGCTGCCTGGAGCAGGGAGTACTGCCGCTGGGCCAGGCGCAGCACCTGCAGGGCCAACCTGCAACAGAGGGAAGGACATCCCCGCCCTACTCAGGTCCAGCCTGACCAGGCTCTCCCGCGCAGCGCACCTGTTTCCATCATTCCAGGTAAGACAAGCAGCACACCTGAGCTGGTCCCCCCGACTCCCTCCTGCCTTGCCTCACACTGGCTGGCTGGTCTCACCATCCTCCCAGCCACGACTTCCGCTCTGTCATACCTTGCTGAAAGCCAAGGCTGGCCAAGATGGCCACAGGTGACTGTGGGAGATGTCACCCACTAAACATGCCCATAACAAAGACAGTGGCCTGGGAAGTAGGGAAGAGGCACTGGGACTCAGAAGGTCTGAGCTTCCTCTCAGGCCTGCTGTGGGATCACTAGTTCATTTGCCCCCAGGGCCATGTAAAGCAGCAGTTTAGAACCCAGCTCAAGGGGCCGGTGCTGTGGTGCAGCAGGTTATAAGCCCTGGTCTGAAACACCAGCATCCCATATGGGTGCCGGTTCTAGTCCCAGCTGCTCCTCTTCAGCTCCCTGCTACGGCCTGGGAAAGCAGTAGAAGATGCCCCAAGTCCTTGGGCCCCTTCTCCTGTGTGGGAGACTCAGAAGAAGCTCTTGGCTTTGGAGTGTCGCAGCTCCGGCAGTTGCAGCCAGTTGGGGAATGAACCAGCAGATGGAAGACCCCTCTCTCTCTGTCTCTACCTCTCTCTTTAACTCTTTTCTTTTCTTTTCTTTTCTTTTCTTTTCTTTTCTTTTCTTTTCTTTTCTTAGGCAGAGTGGACAGTGAGAGAGAGAGACAGAGAGAAAGGTCTTCCTTTTCCGTTGGTTCACCTCCCAATGGCTGCTGCGGCCAGCGCGCTGCGGCCGGCGCACCGCGCTGATCCGATGGCAGGAGCCAGGAGCCAGGTGCTTCTCCTGGTCTCCCATGCAGGTGCAGGGCCCAAGCACTTGGGCCATCCTCCACTGCACTCCCGGGCCACAGCAGAGAGCTGGACTGGAAGAGGAGCAACCGGGACAGAATCCAGTGCCCCGACTGGGACTAGAACCCAGGGTGTCAGCGCCACAGGCGGAGGATTAGCCTAGTGAGCCACACCGCCGGCCTCTCTGTAACTCTTTCAAATAAATAAAATAATAATAATAAAAAACTCAGTCTCCACAACTTTTAAATGGAGATGACGAGTAAACAATAACCTTATATGGTCATTGGAAAGATTAAATGAGTTATTTCACATGCAAAATGTTTAAAAAGATTGCTTGGCACATAGCAAGCACTGTAATGTAGCTAACTATGGTTTTATGTGAAAATAGAAATAATACCAGCTACCTAGTCAGGATAAGAGATTAAACAGGCTATGTTCACCTCGGTTCTGAGAAGACCCTCAAAAATGCATTCAGTCTGCGCTTTCTCTAGCGGCTGGGACTCTGAAAAAGCGTGTGTGAATCAATGCGTATTTCACATGCACGGGGACTACTTAAAGGAAATTCAGAGGATAATATGATTATCGATGTTGTAAACTTAGATTCTAATAGAGAAAATTTTCTTTCTGCGAGGCCCACCTATGATAAAGGAATAAACACAATCATCTCAGTGGGGATTATTCACGGCAAATGACTTGTCCTCAGGAAGCTCCACCTGCGCGGACATTTCTGAGCCCTCCTGATGCCCTCAGTGCTGTGTGCTCAGGGAACCCAAACTCATTTTGTAAAGCAGCCTCTAGGCCTTTAGAAAAGAAGGCAGGAGATAAATTAAAAAGAACGCAGCAGAAACTCATTCTCTATCTGCCCGAGCCACACATTACGAGGAAGAGTGACGCTGGAGAAGCAGGGGGACGTCCCCCTGCTTCTCAGATGACTACTGTCTCACTCAATACCCGCCCCACCCATGGGGAGCTGGTTGCAATTCGGGGGCTTCAAATTAGGTTTCAAAACCCACAGGATGCAGCAACTGTTTTGTCTGTACTATGTATTAGACTTTGGCATAAATTTCATTTGAAGAAAGGACTTTGCAGCTAAAAGAGTTCTGAAAAAACCATCAAGCTACAAAATCTAAGATCTGCTCAGTGCCCTGGTGGCCCAGGATTCTAAATCCTAAAATAAGAGGTTATTTTTGATTATCTGGTTGTTAGGATGTTCCCAAGTATGGAGACCATCTGGAGTGTCCGGCAACCCCTAAGACTTGGGATTGCCTGTCCTACTCCTCTCCCAAGTAAGGACGATGAGGACCACCACCCATAAACCATAGCTGAGGTTGAAGCTACTCATCAGAGACCACCAAACCAGAGGTCAAGCAGAAATGGGGGCCCTGGTGTCCTCTCTCCTCACAATGGGGGACGCCAAGCAGAGACGCTGAGTCATCAGGGGAACTCATGGCTGTTCCCTGGGAGGCCAGGGGACACCCGCCAGTGCACCCCTGCCTCGCCATGGCCCCAGGGAGTCGGCAGCAGGAGATAGATAACAGCCGCTGATTATTCAGGCTGCAGCGTTTTTGCTGAGTCGGGAACAGACACTCCCCAACAAGAAATAAAATTAAACAGGCCCTTCTGTCCAGAAGCTTTAAATACATTGCTGGCGTGAAGCGTGCTGGCAGGGGAGGGGGAGGGAGCCTGGTGGTAGCAAAGCTAAGTGGAAGGGATTTATGTACTGGGGGCCAAGGGAAAAAAAATACTAGCGGCACCTCTCTATTAAGCACACAAAGAATGGTCCAAAATCCACCTCTCCGTGGCTTTGGGGGGTGGTTTGTTTACTTCTGAGGAAAAAAACAGCCCCAGTCAAGCTGTTGAGGAAGACACGTGCTCAACACATGACTCAGGAAGACTGTCCCTTGCCCAGCCTGACGGGCAGCTTCTCTTGGCTGCTGCCTGCTGGCTGAGAAAGGGTAGCTCTGCCCTCAGATGCGAAAGCAAAGCATGGGCCCAAGCAGCCCTGTGCTAGCCTGGTACCTGCTGGCTGTCTGCACGGCCTTGGCTTCCCTCTCCTGTTGGGCTGCCAACCATATGGAGGAATAAATGGAGCAGGTGATTATAGCAAGGAGTTGGCTGCACATAAGGGACAGTGTCGACAAAAAGAGACTTGATCTGGGAGTAGATGTTTAGCCTAAGCAGCTGTGGTGCCCATGTCCCACAGCAGAGTGCCTGGGTTTAGTTCTGGGATCGTCCCTGCTAACGCAGACCCAGGAGCCAGCAGTGACTGTTCAGCTTATGGGGTTCCTGCTTCCCAGGGGGAAACCTGGAGAGCATTCCTGGCTCCTGGGTGTGACCCAGCCCTGGCCATTGCAGGTATTTGGGAATGAACCAGTGGATGGACACTCTGTGTCTCTCGTATTTATGTATGTCTCGCAAATAAATAAATAAAAATAAATTTTAAAAAGAGAGACTTGATTCTTAGCTAGACAGAACCAGGGCTGTTGGGAAGTGCTTGCACCAAGGGGCTGAACCTATTGCCTCCCATCTCGGACTCCAGAGTAGAGCAAGAAGACACCTACCGCTGAGAACCACCTCTGTCTGGTTTCTGTGGTGAGAGGTGGCCCACGGCCGGCCTGGGCTGCAGGATCAGGCTGGGGGACTCCGGTAGGGGGTGTCCGAAGCTCCGCTCTGGCACCTGGCTTGGAAGCTAAGGAGGGAGTAGGAGGCACAGGTGGAGGAGTGAGGATTCCTTTCACTCAAGCTGCTCTAAAACCCTTCCCTCCTGCGGGAGTGGGAACGACAGCTTCTAGAACACCCAGCTCCTGGGGAGGCTTCCTTTCTCCTAGGCATCTCCAGACATGCAAGGATCTGACTACTTCTCCTTGCACGGGATGTGAGCCTCCTAGTGACTGAGACAGGTGGGTTGGGTACCAGGGCCAAAGGGACCCTGGGTCGAGGGGAAGCATTCCTTCCCATATTCCTCCAGCTCCAGGCTTCCCTGATGCCCACGCTGCACGCACCCAAGTCCTACCTCCTTGGCTGGGCCTTCGTCCTTGTCCTTTGAGGGCCGCTCCTGCCCTTCCCCCGCCCTCTCCTCCTGGGCTTCTGTCTCCAGGCTCTCATCTTGAAGGGCTGCAGACCCCTTGTGGAACTCTTGGGGGCAGGACTGCTTGGGGGAGTGGGGGGGCACGGGGGAGCTGGGAAGAGTTTGAGAGGCAGGATGTAGGGGCAGGTAGGGAAAGCGGGGAGCAGGCCGACACTCTTGTAGCCCCCCAGGTTTACAGAGCCCATGAGAAATGGATGCTTGGGTAACAATGGGCAGCAGCTGAGGGTAGAAACAACAACCCCTAGGTAGACACCCACCCCCTAGGCTCCTCTTCTCTTAAACTTCGGATACTACTTATATGGGTTGGGGGTATCTCTTGTGATGCAGAGCATTTGCGGTTGCTTGCTGGGCACTGGGTGGGAACCCGACCCCGGGTGTCCAAACAGCAAGGAGTCCTACTTCTCTAGAGGCTGGGGGTGGGGCAGGCATGGGCAGAACTCACTGCTGTGGTGTGCCGGGTGCAGAGGATGCTGGGAGGGAATGTTGTGAGGCCCGGGCTCCCGCCTCATACACTTGGAGCTTCTTTCTCAGAGCGGCCACCTAGAACAGCAGCAGCCCCGGCCCAGAGTCCCGGGTGAGCACAGGTGGCGGGGGGGCGGGGGGTGGCACAGAGCCCCAGCGACTCAGCTCTGCTCCCGGGCGGGCTCCTCACCTCGGCCTGGAGCTTCTGGCAGATGGTGGCGTACTGGCTGAGGTGACAGTCTAGGCTGACCACATTGCTCTTCAGCTGATGAGGGCACAGAGAGGTTCGTTTGCCCACACTAAGCGGTTTCTATGGATACCTCCATGGCAGGCACTGTGCTGGGCACCTTGCTTACATCATCCCGACTCACCCTCCCGACAGGAACCAGACCACAGCAAGAGGCTGAGGACTGCCTCTGACACCGGCCCTACTTCCTGACCAAGACATTCTCACTAGGCAGGGGCTCCCTGGAGGAGGGGGAGAGCAGAGGCCCGGCGGAGGGGCAGAGTCAAGCCCTGCTGCCGTCCAGGTTAACATACTCGTACGTGGGTATTTATGCAGTTTGCTGAAAAGATGGTCCCACTGTTCAAAACCATTCTGAGCCAGACCACTGTGGGGCCCTGGGTGTTGGCGACGGGCCTGCCTCTGCTGGAATCCTCCCCCAGCAGAGGGGCTGTGTTGCTTCTGTCACAAAGGCAGGCACAGCCTAGGGAACTCCTTTCCCCTGCCTGGGTAGGGACCACGGCTCCTGAACCCTCCTTCTCCCAGGCCAGTGGGCCCTGGTTGGCACACACCGTGAGTCGAATCTCCTTGGCGCGGTCAGCATACTTGAGGGTGTTGTAGGTGTCCTCGTAGGCCAGGCTGGAGGGGCTGACAGCAGCGATCATCACTGTGCGGCAGTTGCCACCGATGGAGTCCTTGAGCAGGCGTGTCAGCTTGCTGTCCCGGTAGGGCACGTGAGACTTGCGGCCCTAGGCGCAGGGAGCAGGTGGGGCACAGGTAGCTGGATTACACCTAGCTAGAACGGGGCCTGGTGGCCTCTGGCCCAGGGCTAAAGGGAGGGACCATGGTTCAGGTGCTCAGTGGCCGCCTAGGGGAGGATGCTGGCCCACACCGCTTTACCTTTGCGTCGGCCAGGGCATTGAGGACGTTGATGAGGGCCAGCAGGGAGCGGTTGATGTTGGCACCTTCCCGTAGCCGCTCCCCCTTTGCACAGGTGTTGGACGCCCGCTCTGAGCCAGCCAGGTCAATCAGGCTCATCTTGGCCACCTGAAGGGCCTGGGTCAGTCCGGGAACCCGGTCCTGCTGCTTCACAAAGATCTGGGGGCAGACAGCAGGGGTAAGGGGGGCTGGGCACCAGAAGCCCTAACTTCAGGCTCTGCCCCATGACCCCTCACCTGGAAGATGGCATGGGAGCGGGAGGAAGTGGCATTGGCATCAGTGGGGTGCTGCGTGCGGTTACGGTTGCCCCTGGTCAGCATCTCCAGCAGCTGCTCGGCTGAGGTTGGCTAAAGAGGAGATGCCCAGGGAGGGGGCTGTGGTCTCCAAAGGGACTGCTCCCTGAAGAGGGAGGGCTGCTCCTCAGAAGCAGCATCGTCCCCTGGGCATCCCCAGATGTCTCGGGAGGGAACCCCAGAAGGTCAATGGGGCCGTCTGTCTCACCCAAGCCCAAGCCCACACCTGGTGGAAAGAAAGTCCTGGGACCACCACGCCCTTGTCGGGGTCCTCCCGAATGGCGAGGGGCCCCTTGGGCTCCAGGAGGTCGTGGATCTGCTCATTGTACACCTGAGGAGGAAGGAAGCCAGGAAGAGACCTGAGGAAACTGCTCGCAAACAGCCTAGGAGGGCTGAGGTGCTGCATGTAGGGGAGTGAGACAGGTGCCATGATTGGCACTTTGCAGGCCACTGTCATACGTCATGAGAAGGGAGGGCCATGTCCATTCTGTTCTGTACTCCACCCCTTCCCCTGGCTCTCACTGGGCCGTTTTCCACCTCCCACCCCCAGGTCCCCTGCCCCAGCAGCTCACTCTCCCTTTGGGCGGTTGCAAGAGTGGGGGCGGGGGCAGGAAGAGCCTCACCTCCTGGTAGCTGATGAGCACCTCAAACTGCCTCTCTTCCTGGCGGGCCTCTAGCCGTCGGTACAGCTCCATGGTGGTCAGGTACATGATGCCGGGGTCCCGCTCCTTTCCCAGCATGGTATGTGTCTTCCCAGCCCCAGTGGCCCCGTAGGCAAACACTACAGAGGGCAGTGCAGGGAGGAGGGTAGCAGTAGGGCCAGGGCTGCTCCCAGCACAGCTCAGCCCTGCCGGCCTCCCCTCCCGCTCACAGTCACGATGCAGCATTTGCGCTCTCCGTGCCTGTGCACTTGAGGGCAGGGGGTCTCCCCCACGGCTGGGCAGGCCCCTCCTTCTCCGGTCTAGATGGCTTGCTCTGTTGAAGCCCACAGGTCTTCCCCTCACGTCACTGAGCCACATTTGTGGGTGGGATTTTGTGACACGCGTCTTCTTCCCCACCAGACCATAACGCCAAGAGGACAGGCACCATGTCTGTCTGACTTGCTCTTGTCTCCTAGGACGCAGTTGAGGCCTCACACACAGCAGAAGAATGAATGGGGGCTACAGAGCTCTCCCCGATACGTGGTGCCCAACTGCGGGGGCGGCCACCCTAGAAGGCGGCAGGGAGGCAGGCCACCCCCCGGCAGGTGCTCACCTGAGCAGTTGTAGCCCTGGAGGAAGCTGTCCAGGATGCTGTGGGTGGTGTGCTGGAACACGTCCTGCTGGGTGGCCCCCTCACCAAAGATGCGGTCAAAGACAAATGTCAGGTCTTTGCCCTTCTTCTTGGGGCCGTCATGGGTGCTGCTTAATTTCAGGCCTGGGAACCCCACCTCGGGCTCCTCAGGATCAAACACCAGCACCCGTTCGTCCACCACCTGAACCACCGGGCGCCGTTGACTCTCCAACTCCCGAGGGTTGGGGGGCCTCACTCGGACCACCACCTGCACCGTGCTGTCCTCCACCGCCATCTTCCCAGGAACACCTGGGTAGACAGGAGGGAGATGAGGACCAATTCAGACCCCAGCAATCAGGACATCCTTCCACCCCCTTCCATAAATATATATATTTTTATCAGCTGATACTTTATTTTTTCATGCTAATGTAGTATCAATACAAAGAACAGATTCAATATGGTTCACAAATACAATGTTAAGAATATAATGCTATAGGGCCGGTGTTGTGGCATACTGGGTTAAGCCACTAGCTGGGATGCCAGCATCCCATGTGGCCATCGGTTTGAGATCTGGCTACTGCATTTCTGGTCTCTGCTAATCCACCTGGGAAAACATCAGAGGATGGCCCAAGTTCTTGGGCCCCTGCACCCATGTGGGAGAGCTGGAAGAAGCCCCTGGCTCCTGTCTTCAGTCTGGCCAAGCTCTGGCCATTGTGGCCATTTGGGGAGTGAATCAGCAGATGGAAAATCTGTTTTTCTCCCCCTTCTCTCTGTGTAATTCTGCCTTTCAAATAAAGAAATAAATCTTCAAGCCCTAGCTGCTCCACTTCTGATCTAGCTCCCTGCTAATACACCTGGGAAAGAAGCAGAGGATGGCCCCACTGTTTGGGCCCATGCACCCATGTGGAGACCTGGATGAAGCTCCCGGCTCCTGGCTTCAGCCTGGCCCAACTCTGGCCATTGTGGTCATTTGGGAAGTGAACCAGTGTACAGAAGATCTCCCTCTCACTGTTTCTCCCTCTCGGTCACTTTGCCTTTCAAATAAATAAAATAAATCTTAAAAAAGTTATTTATTTGAAAGGCAGAGTGACAGAGAGAGAGAGGCAGAGACAGAGAGCGAGCTTTCATACACTAGTTCACTCTCCAATGGCCATAGCAGCTGGGGCTGGGCCAGGCCAAAGCTAGGGCCAGAAACTCTACCCTGGTCTCCCATGTGGGTGGCAAGAACCCAAGTACTTGGGCCATATTCTGCTTCCTCCTAAGTACATGAGCAGGAAGTTGGACGGGAAGCAAAGCTGGGACTCAATCCCAGGCACTCGGATATGGGATGTGGGCAATCCAAGCCGAAGCTTAACCCTGCGGCTGTGAACACCTATGCTGACCTCCAGCTTATGCCTTAGAGAGTAAGAGCAGGGGCTGGCATCACGGCACAGCAGCTCAGCCGCCTCCTACAATGCAAGCATCCCACATCAGAGCCCAAGTCCAAGTCCTGGCTGCTCTGCTTCACAGCCAGCTTCCTGCTGATTTGCCTAGGAAAGCAACAGAGGATGGCCCAAGGACTTGGGCCCCTGCACCCATATGAGAGACCTGGTTGGAATTCCTAGCTCCTGTTTCAGCCTGGCTCAGCCTGGGGCCATCGCAGCCATCTGGGGAGTGAACCAGTGGATAAAGATCTTTTTTTTTCTGTCTCTCCTTCTGTCACTCTGCCTTTCAAATCAATCAATCAATCTTAAGAGAGAGAGTATAGTGGTGCCAGCACCAATTATTATCTATTTCTCACTTGAAATACCACCTTAGTCATATCTACATGAATACATTTTCAGAGAACTATTGCTAAGCTTTCTATTTTAAAAAATATTTCTTTCTTTCTTTGAGAAACAGAGAGCCAGACACACAGATAGACAGTGCTCCCATCTGCTGATTCATTCCCCAAATGGCCATGAGAGCCAGGGCTGGGCTGAGGTTGAAGCCAGGATCCAGGAACTTAATCCAGGTCTCCCAGGTGGGTGGCAGGAATCAATCGAGTTATTATCGCACAGTCTACACTTGCAGGAAGCTGAGGCAGGCATCAGGCCCACGCACTCTGATATGGGATGGAGGCATCTTAACACTAGGCCAAATGCCTACCACTGACTTAAGAAAATTTTACCAATTTCACTCTCAACCCAGAACCTTTTCTCTCACCAAAAAACAAAAACAAACAAACAAACAAAAACCCTTTTAGAATTACAGTTGGGGGCCAGCGCCGCGGCTCTATAGGCTAATCCTCCACCTAGCAGCGCCAGCACACGGGGTTCTAGTTCCAGTCGGGGCGCCGGATTCTTTCCCGGTTGCCCCCCTTCCAGGCCAGCTCTCTGCTGTGGCCCAGGAAGGCAGTGGAGGATGGCCCAAGTGCTTGGGCCCTGCACCCCATGGGAGACCAGGAGAAGCACCTGGCTCCTGCCTTCGGATCCGCGTGGTGCGCCGGCCGCAGCACGCCAGCGGTGGCGGCCATTGGAGGGTGAACCAACGGCAAAAAGGAAGACCTTTCTCTCTGTCTCTCTCTCTCTCTCACTATCCACTCTGCCTGTCAAAAAAAAAAAAAAAAATTACAGTTGGAATTGCACTAAATTTACATATTGATTTTATTAAAACCTTTTAGGGGGCCAGTGCAGTGGCACAGCACGTAAAGCCACTGCCTGCAGTGCTGGCATCCCATATGGGTGCTGGTTCGAGTCCCGGCTGCTCCACTTCTTATCCAGCTCTCTGCTATGGCTTGGGAAAGCAGTAGAAGTGTGGGAGACCCAGAAGAACCTCCTGGCTTCGGATCAGCACAGCTGCAGCCGTTGTGGCCAATTGGGGAGTGAACCAGAGGTTAGAAGACCTTCCCCCCACCCTGCCTCTCCATCTCTGTGTAACTCTGACTTTCAAATAAATAAATAAATTAAAAAAAAAAAAAAATAGGGCATGAGCAAGGGTGGTGGGAGACGGAATTGGGCTGCAGTCACTGATATTACAGAATCATGTCTCTGAAGAAGCAGTTCTGAGCCACACAGGAAAACAGCAGGGACTACTGTGTCAGATGACAAATGGGCACTCCGGAGACATGAAATGTTTATGGAGGCCGCCTGCAGTGCTGGCATCCCATATGGGTGCCTATTTGAGACCTGGCTGCTCCACTTCTTACCCAGCTCTCTGCTATGGCCTGGGAAAGCAGTAGAGATGTTCCAAGCGCTTGGGCCCCTTCACTCGTAGGGGAGTTCCTGACTCCTGGTTTCAGATTGGCACAGCTCCGGCCCTTGCGGCCATCTGGGGAATGAATCGGTGGATGTAAGACACCTCTCTCTCTCTCTCTCTCTCTCTCTCTCGGCCTCTTGTACCTTGCAAATGATTTATTTTTAAACTTTTTATTAATTTTGAGAGAGAGAGATCTTCCATTCATTGGTTCACTGCCTAAATGCTTGCAACAGGTGGAGCTGGGCCAGGTTGAAACCAGGAGCCTAGAAGTCTAGCCAGGGGTCCCATGCGGTAGTAGGAATCCAAGTACTTAAGCCAACACCTGCTTCTCAGGGTACACATTAGCAGGAAGCTGAAATTAGAAATGGAGCTGGAACTCAAACCCAGGCACTGGGATAGAGAATGCAGGTGTCCCCAGTGCTGTCATAACCACTAAACCAAATATCTGCCTCTGCAAATGATTTGAGTCAGCTTATGAAGTTCTATAAAAAAAAAAACATGCAAAAATTCTAATTTGAATTATTTTTAATTTTCATATTAATATGAGGAATATTGGCATCTTGATAATATCAAGTCTTCCCATCTAGGAACTGTTCTCTCTTTCCATTCATTCACACTCATAATCTTCAGTAAAAGTTCATAATTTTCTTCACAGGAGCATTGTGCACTTCTCAATGTTTATTACTAGTTATGAATTAGCTCTTTTTAATGGTTCATTTTCTAATGCCTTTTTGCCAGAATCTAGGAAATCTGCTGCTTTTTGTATGCAGAGCGGGTATCTGGCCACATTGCTAGCTTCCCTATTAGTTCTAATAGATTGTCATTGATTCTGTGAGTTCAATTAAATGATATAGTTTGCACATGACAGTTACTTTCTATTTTTAGCTCTTATTTAGCTGCCTACCTGCTACTGTCCACTAGGACTGTAGGAGTGGGAAGTGAATTGTATCAAATGACTTTTGCTACTTACTGAAATGTTCACACCATATGTCTTCTCTTTTCTTTTTCTTTTTTTTTTTTTTTTTTTAAGATTTATTTGATTTATTTGAAAGAGCTACCTAGAGAGAAGGAGAGGCAGAGAAAGAGAGAGAGGTTTTCCATCTGCTGGTTCACTCCCCAGATGGGCGCAACGTCAAGAGCTGTGCCAATGTGAAGCCAGGAGCCAGGAGCTTCTTCTGGGTTTCCCACGCGGGTGCAGGGGCCCAAGCATTTGGGCCATCTTCTACTGCTTTCCCAGGCCATTGCAGAGAGCTGGATCAGAAGTGGAGCAGCTCGGGACTTGAACCAGCACCCATACGGGATGCCAGTACTGCAGGCAGCAGCTTTACCCATTATGCCACAGCGCCAGCCCTATGTCTTCCTTAATCTATTTTTTTTTTTTTTTTTTGACAGGCAGAGTGGACAGTGAGAGAGAGAGAGACAGAGAGAAAGGTCTTCCTTTGCTGTTGATTCACCCTCCATTGGCCGCCGAGCCGGTGCGCTGTGGCTGGCGCACCGCGCTGATCCGAAGGCAGGAGCCAGGTGCTTCTCCTGGTCTCCCATGTGGGTGCAGGGCCCAAGCACTGGGCCATCCTCCACTGCACTCCCTGGCCACAGCAGAGAGCTGGCCTGGAAGAGGGGCAACTGGGACAGAATCTGGTGCCCCGACCGGGACTAGAACCCGGTGTGCTGGCACAGTAAGGCGGAGGATTAGCCTAGTGAGCCGAGGCGCCAGCCCCTTAATCTATTAATGTAGCAGGTGACACAAAGATTTCTTAATGTTGACCTGGTAATCACTCCAAACACTTACTTGTCTGCTTCCTCTTGTATTTCTCCCAGACCTCTCCCCTTGGTTTTTCATATCTTGTTTGGATCAGTTTACCACAGGGAAGGGTGAATTTTTGTGGAATGCAGGAGTCACAGATATCTTGAAAAGTTCAGCCCAACTCTAGCGATATGTGAACAGGGGTAAGGAACAGGAGGTGTTCCTGGAGGGATTTGAATGCTTTCCCAGTAAAGACTAAGTCTCACTGATGGTCACATTGACCAAAGTTCTAAGCAAAGAAAAGTGGGGGTGTCAGGGACCTCAAAACTTGAGCCATCAGTGATGCCTC